CCTATTCTTCTACAACTTGTTTTCTATGGTTTATGTGTATATATGGCATGACTTGTATAGAAAAATAGAACATAACATAATAGAGAGAGATTCATACAAGATCTTGAGAGATTTAGATTTCAATTGAGTGTATAGAGATCTTGTAAACACAACTGCTGTTGATTATAGTGGATTTCACATCCTCTGCTTGTTGACTGATCGGTGTGAATAAGAAATATGATAAGATTAGTATAACTTTAGATAGAATCATAATGCAAATTCTCTTAATGGTTCCAGGCCACTTGTATTTTCAATATAATTAGGGTGCGTTTAGCAGTTCTTTTAAAAAATTAAAAGATTAAAACGTTTTCCTACGAAAAATAGAAACATAAACAAAAGTAAAAGTCCTGCTAAAGTCAATTCAAATGGGCATTAATAGCGTCAATATAAAGAGGAAATTTCACACACCTGTTTTTTTCCATTTCAATAATCAGGTACAAAGATTTTTCTTTCAAAAATCAGGTGCACCACATCCCATCCCACATTGCAACACTACCATCCTACACAAATATTTGTGACCTATTCTCTCTCTACCATCTCTCTATCTAGTCTCTCTTTCTGTTCTCTCCATCTACTGCTCAATCCGTTCGGCCTCCACCCACCAACTCGACCATATCACTGAAAACAATCCACTGCCTCCCCACTCACAAAAACTTATGGTAGATCAATGTACAAGATCTGTACTCACTATCTCACTTGTATTATTTATGGGCGTCGTCATCGCTAGGTCTTTCTTTTCCCTCGAAGTACAGCAGCCAGCTCCCTTTCGTACCTCATCTCAAAGCCTCATTCAGTTTCCAGTATTATTGTAGTATCAAGGTCTCCAATTCACCACCTCTGGTTAGATTTGGGTGATGGTGGTGAGTTAGGGATTCAAGGTGGCGATCGTTGGATTGCTACAGTATCGTCGGTGTTGTAGATGAGGCGCGGGTGGTGGTAATGTGATGTTACAGTGTGGTGGATGTGGAAGTAATGGTGGTGAAGCAGCATCTCTAGTTGTGCGTGTCTATGTGTATTCGTGATAGGGATTGTAGTGGTAGGTTAGAGGTGGAGATGAAGGTGAAGGTGGTGGTGGTGGTGGTGGTTGTTAGGTTGGAGTTGGAAATAGAGGTAGTGGTGGAAGTAATTGTGGATTTGAGAAGGTAGTGATTGTTGTTGGTGCAAATGGTGGTGGTGAGGTGGCAGCGTCATATGGGTGGTGTCGGTGGAATGTAGTAGAGTGGAGTGAGGTGGGGTGGGGTAAAAAACGCTTGTGACCAACAAAATGGGTTATTAATAACCAATAAATAATATGTGATTTAAAAAAATGTAAAATTTGTGTGACCCACAATTTGTTTCATCATGATTGTGGCTTTGCAATTTGTGACTAATACATGACTATGACCATAAATTGTGTATTGCTGTGAAATGGACATATTTTTTAATTATTAAGTCAAAAAATTGTTGTCATCTAATTTTTGAAACATTTCACAAGTTTCTTATTTTTATAGTATATCTTAAAATAAATTTGATTTTTTTTAAAAAAAACTCTAATTAAATTGAAAAACATGTACATCAATAATTTTTTTAATAATTGTAGCCATGGTCTCAAGTCTTTCATCTTTTTGCAAACTTTGTCCAAACCTCATTTGTACTACCCATGGTCCCAAATGTTTACTTTTGCAAGCTTTACCCAAACCTCTTTTCATCGTTAGCTAACAGAAAAATGGACTTTGACCAATTTCAAAAGGATAAAATGATAAATTAACATTTTTTTTTCAAAAACAAATACAATTATTATAATTAAATAAAATAAAATTTGCACCCCATCCATCGACTCCCAAATTTCATCTTCTTCCCTAAAATTATCGGCATCACCGGAGCACCAACAATAAAAATATTATAGAAGAGAACAACTGTCGTCGCCTCCACAACAACAACCTCGAGCACCAAGAACAATAACAAATTATGAAATTCCAGCAAGAACAAAAACAAATTATAGAAGAGAAAATTCCAAAATCAGTCACTTCAATTACTCCAATAGCAAAAGTTGAATGAGTTCAACAAAATATGGCTATCGACAGAGCGCACTTCAATTTTGCATTATGACACTCTTCATCCCCTTCAAATTTGCATGACGACACCGTTCCCATTGCAACCTCCATCATTTTTCACCATCCTATCATTAAATGCACACATAAGCTAATTAATTTCTCGCTACGCTCTCACCCAACAAAGACATGCATTAATTTCCTATTCATATGTCATCAATCTTTATGATCTATTAAATCTCTTTGGGGATAATAGCGTCCCTCGATTATCGCTCATTTGCCGACTTGATGAAAATAGCCCAGTCGTTGTAACTGATGATCTCATGAACATTGGATCTGTAAACGACTTACCTTTTCTCGATGAGCCGTCTCATTTGTTGGATAAGTCGCGTTGCATGCAATATTCAGATAATGGGAAGAATTGACAGCGTAACGAAAGTGAAGGTTTGGTATCTTGGATGGTACAAATGAAAGATTTGTATAAAGTCTATTATAAAGTGAAAGATTTGGGACCATGCTGCAATTATCCCTCATTATTTAAACATCTTTATTTATTTTATTTTCTTCAATTGTTTGCGTGATCTTACAAATTAGCATATCCTAATAATATATAATGGGGATAATGAGATAAGATTGCGCAAGACATTTTTTTAGGTTTATTAAGCCCCAGTTTGATGGAAGTTTTAGTCAAAGTTAACAAATAATTTTAATAACACATTTTTTAGGATCCAAAACACACATTTTATCAATTTTTATCAAAATTTACTAAAAATCTGATTTCAATTCCTACCAAATAGGGGCTAAGGAATGATAAATACGACTCGTCTATACAGTTACGCTCCATCTGTTCATTTATTTATTTATTTCTCGTTTCTTTTTAAACTCATCCCACCTCAAACACTACAATCACTAAACTCCTCTCATATACTAGCACAAATTTGTACCTTTCGCTGCGAAAAAACACTCCAGAACAATCGTTTTCACCACTATTGAAAGATATGATTATGGCTTCGATATTTTCTTTGCCAACATTCCTTCCAAATTTCACGATAATTCGGAGCACAATGAACATTACCTCACAAACAATATCTCCATCAATTTCGATAGCCAGTTTTTCGATGAAGATGAAACCCTCGTGTATGTTTAATAGAGAATGGCTCGTCTCGAATTTACTTGAACCTATCCCCAATTTCTGAACCTTAGCTAAATTAAACACCAACTCAAAGCCTTTTCCACGACCTTCCAGTCATAAAGAACGACTATATCTACTACGTTTTTGCTCATGAATCACTAGAGAAGCCATTTCGAAGCTGGTGGTTCTTTACTCCACTCGACTTGATGATGGGAAAATTGTGTGGATTATGCCTTATGGTTCTGTAGTATAGCCTGACAATTTCTAAGTTCGGGAAATTTATTGTTGTTACATTAGGAATGACAACGGGGTGGGCATAGAACGGGTCGACCATTTTCACTCCCGTCCCGTCGGGATTTTTGTCACCTTGCCCAATCTCCATACTCAATTAAAACAGGACGGGGCAAATTTGGGGCGGGATCGAGGTGGGGCAGGTCCCCTACATTTATTGTCCATTTTTAAATGTATTTAGTTAGTAGATATTATTACTTTTTGTTTTCCAATTTGTCAAGAAGAACTCATGTTCACTTTTAAAATGATGATACATTTTTTAGTTTTGTTTAATAAAAAACTTCAATTTGAAATTAACTTTAAACTTTAGTGGAGAGGGGACTATATTTCTCGTACTTGATTCGGAACAATGACCCCCCACCTCGTCCCCGTCTAGTTTACCAAATTAGGCGGATAATCCTTATCCAATTCGGGATGAGGCCGACGGTATCAAATTGAACGAGTTTTTTTTTTTTTTTGTTATTTACATGTTGCATCGTATGGACATCAACGTTGGAATGGTGAATTCCATGATCTCCAAACAGATATTGTGGTTTTCTTGAAGTCTCACTCGACGAAGTGTGTAATAGACCCTCAGCACAGTGGGTGGACCACTCAGCTCGATGACTCAATCATATATTTCTAGGGTTAAATCCACCAATGGCTACCCAATTTTATACTTGGTGTCGCTATGACCACTTAATTTTATTTAGTTTCACCATGGCCACCCAACTTATACTTAGTGTCACCATGACCACCTAATTTCATATAACATTTCACCATGATCACCCACCATTTTCACTAATTTTAAAATGAGTAAAAAGGTAACTTTGCAATATATATAAAAAATAAATTTAAAAAATGTAAAATAAATAATTATTTTAAAAAAAATTACTTAGAAAAATAAAAAAATAAAAAGTTTTTTTTTTAAAAAAAAAAGTTACTTAGAAAAATAAAATAGAATAAAAATTTATTTTAAAAAAGACATTCCTTAAAAAAATAAAATTAAATAAAAACTTATTTAAATAAAATAAAAACTTATTTTAAAATAAATGTTTTAAAAAAAATTTTAAAAACTTTTATTTCTATTTTTTTTAAAAAAATTATTTATATATATAATATAAAGTTATTGTTTTACCCATTTTAAAATTAGTGAAATCAGTGAAAAGAAATTAGATGGTCATAGTGAAATGTTATATGAAATTAGGTGGTTATGGTGAAATGTTATATGAAATTGGGTAACCATAGTGAAATAAAATCAAATTGAGTGGGTATGGTGACACTAAATATAAAGTTGGCTGACCATGGTGAAACAAAATCAATTTTGGTGGTCATTGCCTCATTGGTGGCTATGGCACATGGAGATTTTTGACGTTGATTCTCGAAAGTTTCATTCAATAACTAAGGTGTTGATCCCCAATTTCCACCATTACAATCCTTTCATTTTTCCATAATCCACTTATCTTTGTTGTCATCGCTTACAAAAAGAGTCAGTAAGTGGAGAGAGAACGATTCCACATCTTGATACAATGCCAAGCTGGGGCACTGATGGGAAATTAATTACCTTATCTTCAAGTAGGCATAATCTGGATAACATGGAGTTATTTAGGATATACACAATCAAACCTAATGGCACGAATTTGAGGATGATACATGCTGTAGGATTTGAAGAAGAAATGGAGAGGCTGAAAAATCATGTTTGCTTTAGTGCGGATGGAGAGTAGCTGCTATTCAGAGCTAACTTGGGCAGAGTAACAGTAGCGCCGTGTCGATTCCTAACCAATTCTAGCCTTATGGGGACTTGCATTTGGAGAAGTTGGATGGAAGTGTATTAAGGAGGCTGAAGTGGAATGGCTATGAGAATGGGATGCCTATCGACATCCATCGAAAGAAAGTCGATTATGAAGGAAATGCTGATGAAATCGAGTTGGACGCTTGTCTTTGGGAGTTGATGTTTGAATAGACAAGCCGAAATATCAATTTATAGAACTATTGTGGATTCCCTGTGATATTTAACTTACTTGATGGATTGCAATTGTGGATGATAAATTAAAAGGGGTTGAGAGATTATATAATAAAAATAAATATTTGATAATTGTACTAATAATTTGGAGATGTATCTTCTGTTGTTTCCCTCATTAAAAATTGTAAGTCTAGTTTCCTTTCTTCCTAATTTGTTGTAATTTTCAATCCTTTCTTGTTATTGGCATCTATTTTACATCAGCAATCTGTAATGTCTTTAGTTCATTATATGGATGATCGGTCTAAAAATTTCCCACAAAATATGGTAGGCCCCAATACTAAAAACTAGTATGTTCTGATTTCAAAACTGCATCTATATTTATGATCAGTTGTGATGCATATCAAAATTTTGTTTTTTTTAAAAAAATCAACCTTATAAAATGTGTTGACCACAAAAAATGTGCCAACAGATATCAGGCCCACTCGTGTCCTTATAAGTTAATTCCAACACGTGTAGACGGGTTACTAGTCGAACATGTTACGGGATTGAACATGGGAGAAGCTTTTTGACAAGAGACAAATATGGTCAGGCTCCGATAAATATATAAACGAAGATGTACGATAACGAATGATCGATAAAGAACCAAGTTAAAGATTAAGATCACACCATAAACTCTTGAAAGATAAGAAGACATTGGATGAAAAGACACGTGACTACATCCCTTTAACCAAATCATCATATCCTAGACATCAATTTTGACTTCACTAGCCTGCCACGCATTAAATATCCCTTAAGAAGACGGCTACCCATACCCTATGCTTCAAGAGTGACCCTTTTAACTCATTGTAGTAATCACATCAATCATTCTAAAAGGATTTCACAAATTTAAGATCTTCAAATGTAGGTCATTATTTGAAATTCGGGTTTCTCTTCAGTGGGCCTTATGTATAGCTCCCGTATAAGGGCTTCGGAGTAGAGGGTCTTCAGAGGACAGGGGCTTTGGCAGAAGTAAGGCCTCGCCAAGAATAGGCCTTGGCCTTTTGCGCTTCGACAATATAGGCTTCGGCAAGATGGGCTTTCTCGGGCTTCAAACAATTTGGTGTAAAATTAATCCACCAAGTCCAAGTATAGACATTTTATGTCATGGTTGGAGTTTGATACTGAACCTGTTGAGGCTTTTCATTTCTTGTTGTAGCTAAAATTCTCATTTTGAGTCGGAGTAGGGAAGTATTGAACTGTTGAGACTCCTTTTTAGTTGTGGGTAAAGTTTTCATTTTGAGCCGAAGCGAGGAAGCACTGAATTGCTGAGGTTTCCTTTTAGTTGTGGCTGAAGTTTTTAATGGATAATCGTGCCGATGATTTGATGTTTTTGCATATTACCAAGAAAAAACAAATGTGGCATTGTAACTTCCAATACACACCCAGTTGTTACCCATTGAATGTGCAATGATGATCATCCTGCTATATTTTGATGTTGATGCAGAACCTCATGCGTGAGAAACGTGTCAATCTGAGGTGTAAATGAGAAAACTATTTGAATTCAACGCCTCAGATATATTTAAAAAATAGATGCTTCAGATGAAGTAAATCCAGATCCAACGGTTGAGTTTTGTCCTTTTCTCATATAAAAGTTAAAATTTCACCCACATGCCAGTTTTCACTTTTATAAAATCTCCAAATTTTTCTAACATTCATAAACTTCACCGGTCGCTCCTTTCTCCTGTAACACCACATTCCTAGTGCACCTTCTTCGCTTAGGTAATCCCTCACTCTATTTCATTCATCTCCATCTTTTTTTACACCAATGGCATTTGGTTCAAGTGGTAACAGCGAAAGGGTAACTGTTACCAGGGTAGAAAGTTCTTCAGGGGAGTCAGAAAGTGGTTACACGACCATGAGTGATGGCCCAATAGATTATGAGGCTGGGTACGGAGCTCCTAGGATCCCTTCTGCCATGACCTCCGAAAAATTATTTGAAATTAGGGAAAAGTATAGTTACCACGATAGCATAGAACTCCTAGTACCCGAAGCTCACAAACGAGCATGTTATCCAAGGCCTATTCCCCATTCCTAGTAGGTTTGCCATCTTCAATCAAGGGGTAGAAGGAATCATGGTTCTGGGTAAGGGTGGAAGTGACAGACGGTTGAGGGAGATTATTTATCTGATGTATTTTTGTTCCGCAGATTCAGGACCTCGCTTCGAACAGTCTCAAGTTGAGTGGGACATCATCGAGGACATATAAAAAGTCCCCAAAGGTCTCGCCACTTTGACCGTTTAATTGACAGGAGCAAGTTCTTTTTGGACTTCGGACTCATGGCCTCTAAAGGTAAACACTGAAGCCACATATGAATATGCAGTATCTGGTACATGTTTTAACATGTTTATTGTTTATAGATATTTTGGAAAGAAGAAATACCCCATCTCGACGTGGCTTCGATCTTGAAAGCTTATCTCATGGTTCATCTATGCGGAAGCTTATCTCATAACTTTCAGCTTCGTCATAGGATGCTTGTATTGTACGCCTTGGATGATCGACAAAGTAATCCCCTTTGGGATCAAATCATCCCCTTCCGAGACGTCCACGCTTCCCCACGTGATGGATGGTTCATCCATGCAGATGCTTCTCTCATGACGTTCAACTTCGTCATGGAAGGTTTGTCTTTCAAGCGTTTCAGTCAAAAACATAATTTTGTTAAACTTCATAATATTTACAAAGATTGGGCAGGTTCTTCCAATCATAACCTGTTCATTGGTAATATATTCTAAGATATTCTATATTCCACGGGTGCGGTTGCACTTTCTCATTTAGGTCTCCTATCCATAAGTGCCCGATTGAAGCTCTTCTTTAATGCGATATGGTCCCTTCCTGTTTGGACCTAAAGTGCCCACTCCTGGTTCCTTGTAGGATATGAAGACTCTTCGAAGCACTTGATCGTTTACCCGGATGGACCATTTCCTAGTTTTAGCATTGTAGTAGTGGGTTATCTTCCTTTGGTACGATGCTAGTTTCACTAGGGATACATCTATCCTTTCATCGAGGAAATCAAGCTCATATCTTCTCAACTCATTGTTTGATATCTCGTTGAATCATGATCGACGGGGAGAGGGTAAACCAACTTCTACTGGGCTTATCGTTTCTACACCATAAGCTATCAAGAATGGGGTTTCTCCTGTCGAGGTTGACTCGTAGTCCAGATTGCCCATAATACTTTTAGTATCTCATCCACCCATGCTCTCCATTGGAGGCATCAAGCTTTTTCTTCAATGCATACTTAATGGTCTTGTTGACAGCCTCCACTTGCCTGTTTGCTTGAGGATGGTGAGGTATTGAAAAATACTAGTTTATTCCGAGTTCTTCACACAAGTATTTGACCTTTTCGTTGTCAAATTGACGCCCGTTGTTGGAGATTATCGAATGGGGAATTCCAAATTGGCATATGATGTTTTTCTATAAGAACTTGGAAATGTTAGCCTCCGTAATCTTGGCCAAATGTTCGACTTCAACCCATTTTGTGAAGTAATCGATAGCGACAATGGAAAAGCTTGCACTACCCCTTCCTTTAGGTAAAGAGTCTGTAAGATTAATACCGCATTTGGTAAATGGCCAGAGGCTGGACACCACTATTAACTCCTGAAGGGCTATCTCTAGAGAGAGAAATGCTGGAGTTTATTGCACTCCGTACAAATTGAATTGCATCATTTTTCAATGTAGGCCAATAATACCCCTGCCATAGCACTTTTCGTGCCAACGAAAGTCCTTTGGTATGATTGCCATACACCCTCTCATGGATTTCACAGAGGACGTAGGTGGCTTCCTCCTTCTTAGACATCGGATGAGGGATGGGGAAAAACCCTTTTTGTAGAGCACCTCATCTTGGAATACAAAGTGGGTCGCTTTCTTTCCTGAGTTTATAGGCATCTTCTTTGTTGTTTGGGAGAATATGATCCTTAAGGAAGGCCCTTATGTGTTGCATCCACGTTGGCGTCCCTTCTATCCACATAATTTTCTTAGGTTTAGTGGTAGAAGGTCCTGAGAGGTGCTCGATTGGCACTATCGTCAATAACTCCGAATCTTTGCTACTAGTCAACTTGGCCAGAGGATCGGCGTGGGTGTTCTCAATACAGGGAATCTAGGCTAGCTTGAATTTCTCGAAAGTTGGAAGCAGATCCATCACCAACTTCAGGTACGCAGCCATGCCTTTATCCCTTGCTGTGAAACTCCCATTAACCTGGCTAACAACGAGCTGGGAATCACTGTTAGCAACAACCTCTTCACTTGCATCTCTTTAGCCAACCTAGGCAGGCCAACAGTGCTTCATATTCATCCATGTTGTTGGTGGCCTTAAACTTAAACCTTACTGCGGAGTTGAGCTTGTGTCCCTCGGGGGCTAACCAGGACCACACCTAAGCCCGTTTCTCCAAATAAACCATCTATGAACAAACTCCAAGTGAGAGGTTCTCTAGGTTCCATGGTTTCTTCCATTTCCATTGGCGAATTCTGCAACAAAATTTGTAGGGACCTGACCTTTGATGGTCGCTCTCATTTTGTAAACAACATCAAATTTACTAAGTTCAACATCCCATTTCAACAATCTTCCTGAGGTATCGAGTTTTCAAAGCACTTACCTGAGCGGGAAATTTGTTAGCACATGTATTATGTAAGCTTGAAAATATGGTCTTAATTTCCTGGAGGCTGTGATCAATGCTAAGGCTAGTTTTTCCATGTCAGGGTAGCGGATTTCAACCGCTAAAAGCACCTTACTCTCCAGCTTTGGGTTTAGAGAGGGGGCTATAACTCTATAGAGAAATGGGAGAAAAAAATGTTATGAAGGTTGGTTCAAAAGATTTTCCTGCCATTGGGTTGACAAGTATTCAGGACAGAATGTGGGTTTATTTTTGTTGAAGGCTTGGGCACCTTTTTCTGTCAAGGAAATGGAACAAATTATTGTTATATTGTGGCTGTGTTGGCATGAGTGTAATTCTGATCTTTTTAACAAAA